AAAAAAAAAAAATTCCGAAAAACCCAATAATTTCAGACCTTCTGCGCCAATGGAAACCAATTTGACGCCTTTGCTTTCGATATATTCCAACGCTTTATTGACGTTAGCGATCTTGTGAAAGCGCATTTTGCCGCGATCCGGCCGCGGCAACGCTTCACCGGAAATTACTTCCAGCAACAACATCAGCTTCAACCCTAAATTTTTTTTCAAAATACTGCGCAAACTGATGGCCACTAAAATGAGGCTTTAACCCTTATAAACTATTTTTTGAGGTCAATAATGTCCGCAAGAATTTTGATTTCAAGGAAAACTGCTCAGTCAAGTCAGATTCAATGTCTCTTTGAAGCAGTAAAATACCATTTCTGAAATCTTCCTCAATAACTTCGATGCTTGTGCCCGCTTTTCTCAAATGACTGTTGCACCATGCCGTGAATGTCTACAAAAATAATTGCTTATTGAAGCCGACCTCGCAAACACCCATATCAGTATATTACAAAAATCCAGCTTTGCAAGCCCCAGCTATCAAACCAAATTTACAGTTCCAGGATGGAATGAAGTAAAAACGTGAGATACCATGAATGGTTCAGAATCAGCTTTCAAATACTCTTTTAATTTATGGCTCCATGTCCAGAGAGGAGCTGAGGCACAGGAAGAAGTGGATCTAAAATTCTCGTACTTCTTTCAAGTTTGACAAGTTTTGTGATGCACTCCTGTAAGTGCTGTTCCAATCGCTCTCTGGGCAATTGCAACAATTAATCGAAAAGATGCATGCCATCTCGGTTTTGTGAATTCATTTCTAGTGTAAGAATGGATTTTTTCCAGGATCTGCACCGAAATTAGAGCTCTAAAAAGGAATTGCACGTAATCGGATATGTCAGAGGGAGAGAAACGGAGATGGGAGCAAGGATAAAAGAAGGCATCAAGTAAATTCCGATCTTCTGAATCATTTTTAGGCACCTATTGTGACGTTTTTCGCTTTTCGAGATATTGCTGACCATTCGAATATCGTCGGCTGCCCTTTACCACTTGAAAGTGTTCCATTGAAATTGATCAAATAGAATTAAATTTGTGTAAAACAATTAAATCGAATAAAATTAGTGTAAAACAATTAA